ATTGAAAATATTAGAGTTTAGTTAAAATGAATTGTTTATTTTAGAAACAACATAAGTCAATGTTTTGCTACTTTTACTTCTTAGTGCAGTCTCATTCCCTGTAAGTACATGCTTTGTTTGAGGCAGATCTAGCACAAGTAAAACTATTGTGCAGGGCTTTTGGAACAGACCTTTTGAAGTCTTGACTCACTGTGATATTTTGTCGCAGATGTCGACGATTTTGGCATTTCCTCAGAAAAATTTAATATTTTTTTGATAATATTTGGCTCTTTACTCACGACGCCACTGCAGTCTGTAAAAAGTACACGTTTCATCAAATCGATTTATAGCACAATAATTGTTTCAAGAAATGAAATAAGTAATAATTTCAATACTACTTAATAATACATTGTATTTGATAATATATCCATTAATTTTTATTACAGTTTCAGTTACCTTTGAAAACTTGTAAACGCTAGTTCACCAAGGATACTTAAAAATATCATTTAGTGTCAAGCGGTATCCCTATATTTTTACGTTAAACTCACAAAACCAATGTGCGAAAGGCTGCCGGGAGTCGTCTTTGCCTGGGTCGCTCTGGACAAAAGAAGCTCGTTGGCCTTCCCCGTACGCAGCCTTCCCCGTAATTCGAAGAGAATAGGGCTATTCGGTCACAGGCTACTGACCCATGATACGAACTCTAGAGTTCTACGGTGTTGTAACACGACGGATTTTTATTGGAATGATCTACAGAAAAAAAATAATAAAATGCGGAAATGTTTTATGTTATAATAATAATAATAATAATAATAATAATAATAATAATAATAATAATAATAATAATAATGATACTTCAGCAAATTCTTTCTGGCACTTTTCTAACTTTCACAATTTTAGAAACATATTTGAAAGAACTTATGTGAAAATTCCTACTTTTTTCAAAAAATTATACATAATCTTATTTTAAAACTTTAACTTTTCCAGAGCTCTAAGTTTTGGGGACATAATCGCAAGTGTTCAGATAGTAATTCTTAATTTTACACGCCCTATTTGTTTAAATTCGCCCTCGTCTCGCCCTCGTCTCGCCCTCGTCTCGCCCTCGTCTCGCCCTCGTCTCGCCCTCGTCTC